GGGGCTGCAATGGCCTGCTGGCTGTTGCCAGCTGTCACACTCTGCATGCCACTGGAGCTCTGCTCCAGCAGAAGGGGCATCCAAGTGACCAGCTTCAACAAGCACCAAGTCCGGTGCCCACGCTGGGCCTGCACGGCCACCCGGAGCCCTCTCCCACGGCTTGGGTGAGAGCACTTTAGTATACACTGACCCGCAGGTCCTACTGACAGTGTCCTGGACCAGAGAAGGGAGCCCTATGTCCTCAGGACAGAGATCTGGGGAGGTTCAGGGCTCCAGCAGTCATGTATGTATGTGAGAGCTGGACCATAGAGATGGCTGAGGGCTGAAGAATTGATGCTTTTGAATTGCGATCCTGAAGAAGACCCTTGAGAATCCCTTGGACTGCAAGGAGATCAAACCAGTCCATCCTAAAGGAAATCAACCCTGAATATTTATTGGAAGGACTGATGCTGAAGTGGAAGCTCCAATATTTTGGCCACCTGATGTGAAAAGCTGACTCATTGGAAAAGACCCTGATGCTGGGAAAGACTGAGGGCAGGAGGAGAGGGGGACGACAGAAGATGAGATGGTTGGATGGCATCACCAACTCAATGGATATGAGTTTGAGTAAACTCTGGGAGATGGTGAAGGACAGAGGAGCCTGGCGTGCTGCGGTCCATGGAGTCATAGAGCCGGACAAAACTCAGCAACTGACAAAAAAATGTGGGGGGCGCTAAAGAGAACCACCAGGGACACCTCCAGGAAAGAGGGGCCCTTTGCGGGGAAGAGCAATGCGTGTGCGTCCATCTCTGATCCCTGGGCACCCCCACCTGTGGAGGGGGACTTTTTAAGCCACTGTCCTAGGTTGAACTTCCCTGGTGGCTCAGGTGGTAAAGCGTCTGTCTACAATGCAGGAGACCCGGGTTCGATCCCTGGGTCAGGAAGATCCCCTGGAGAAGGACATGGTAACCCACTCCAATATTCTTGCCTGGAAAATCCCATGGATGGAGGAGCCTGGTAGGCTACAGTCCATGGGGTTGCAAAGAGTTGGAGATGACTGGGCAATTTCACTTTCACTTTCCTAGGTTGAGCTTGACTTTCTCATTCACTTCCTCTTTCTGCTGGCAGGGGAAAGCCCCAGGGTCCTCACCTAAGATGTGGGCAGAGGAGGAAGCCAGAGGGTCCTCAGGGTGAGGGCAAGCTTTGCCAGAGGAGACCAGTGCCGGCTTCATGCAGGTGGGATCCCAGGAGCCCTCTCTTCTAGGACATGCCCGAACCCATCAACTCCCCCATACTGGCTTGGCCCAGGCTGTCTCCTCCATCCTTTCACCCCATCCCCAACCCTCCTCATTGTGGCCCCCTCCCTAGCTTCCTGGAGGCCTGGTTCAGCTGGAGGGAATTCTGGAAGCTGGTCACTGATGGGGCAGCTCTGCCTGTCTTGTCTGAAGGCAAATCCTCAACCCCAGAAACTCATCACCCTCTGGGAACCTCAGTTTCACCATCCACAGCAGGGATTTTAAAAGTGCTCAGCTCCTAGGGTTCCCCTGAGAGTCAAATGCAAGTGTCTGTTAAAATACTTTGGGAAACAGGATGCCTTAGCATAAGGGCGAATGATTACACTCACACTTACCTGCTTGAAGGGTCTTGGTAGGATCCCCTAGCACACTGAGGGACTCACTTAGGGAGAGAGGAAGAGGCCTCAGCAGGAAGGATCTGAGTCCCCTGCAGAATTGTATGGACAAGAAGGAGAGAGATCAAGGAAATCACCTTGAAAGTAAACTCTGGGAGTTGGTGCTGGACAGGGAGGCCTGGCATGCTGCAGTCCATGGGGTTGCAAAGAGTTGGACATGACGGAGCGACTGAACTGAACTGGACTGACCTGCTTGAAACTTTCAAGGTGGTTTCCTTCTCCTTCTTGTCCATACAATTCTGCAGGGGACTCAGATCCTTCCTGAGGCCTCTTCCTCTCTCCCTAAGTGAGTCCGTCAAGTGTGCTAGGGGATCCTACCAAGACCCTTGCCTCTCTATGAAACCTAGGGGAAACTCTTGGATTAAAGCTCCATTGGGAGTTCACACATTTCAAGGAGGAACCTGTGAGCTAGTGGAGATTTCAAACCAATACGTAGACACCCCCAGGACACACTGTCGTTGCAAAGATCTGGGAAGATAAAGAAATGAACAAGTGGTTCCCACCCTCAAAACAACCAGAAGTAAGTGCAAAGATAACCTCCACATAACACAATCCAGGCTACAGGGGAAAGCCACCAATGGTTTGCCAAGAGTGATGAGGGGAAGATGAGATATCACCAAGACTTTGAGAAGAAAGTAAACTGGAGCTGAACCCAAAGCCTGGGCAGGATGTTATAGCAAAACTGGAGGTCAGACTCTTGAGAGTCCCTTGTTCTGCAAGGAGATCCAACCAGTCCATCCTAAAGGAAATCAGTCCTGAATATTCATTGGAAGGACTGATGCTGACACTGAAGCTCCAATACATTGGCCACCTGATGTGAAGAACTAACTCATTGGAAAAGATCCTGATGCTGGGAAAGATTGAAGGCAGGAAGAGAAGGGGACAACAGAGGATGAGATGGTTGGATGGCATCACTGACTCGACAGACATTAGTTTGAGTAATCTCTGGGAGCTGGTGATAGACAGGGAAGCCTGGTGTGCTGCAGTCCATGGGATTGCAAAGAGTCAAACACAACTGAGCAACTGAACTGTACTGAACTGGAGGTCAGAAGCAAAGATTAAAGTGGGATATTGGGACTGACACATACACTACTGATACTATGTACAAAAGAGATAACTGGTGGGAACATACTGTATAGTGCAGGGCACTTTACTTCAGGCACTGCTGTGACCTCAATGGGAGGGAAACCCAAAAGGAAGGGGATATATGTACGGCTGATTCATTTTGCTCTAGAGCAGAAACTAACACGACATTATAGAGCAACTATACTGTGATAGAAATTAACAACAATAAAAAGGCTCAGAGTGAGCCCATGGGGAGAATGTTAATGGAAGAAAATGGAACCAAACAGCCCCAAAATCAGCAGGCACGGCCAATGGACCACGAGAGCTGAAATCAGTCCCTGCAATGACAGGTCCTTCAACAGCATCCTTCTTCTTACATGAAAGGGGACCATCGTGGAGAAACTCATTTCCTTCAAGTTAGCATCAACATCAGTGCTATCCAGTAGAACTGTCTGTGATGATGAAATGTTCTCTGGATTGTCCAACAGATGGCCACGACAGCCACTTGAAGCAATGCTAGTGCAATCAAGCAACTAAATTCTTGCTTGATCTTATTTTAGTAAATTAAATTGTAAGAGGCACAGGTGCTAGCGGCTACCACCGTGGACGGTGGCGGTTCAGGTATCAAAAGGCACTCAGCCTATGCTACTGTCCGTGTGATGAGGACATGCTGTGGTAGCATGCCCTGGTGCTGGGGTGGAGAACACCCACAGCCACCCAGCGATGCTCTTTCATTTAGGGAAGCGAAAGGTTCAGTTCCACCCTCAACAGATACGAGTGTGTGGCTGGGCTGCTGTTTTGCTATTTTGGCTGTTGTTTTTTTTTTCTGATAAAAGGCAGATTTCTGTGTTTTTGTTTAACCAAGAGTCGAGTCACTGATAAAGTGAATACAGGTCCCTCTGGGGGAGGAAAGAAGCTCCTTAGTCCCTAAAGACCTTTTAATCAGAAAGAGAAGAGAGAAAGAGGCTGGAAGTAAACATTCTAATGCTACTGGTCCTTGAGCCCAGAAATTTGGTCCTCAAAGCCTTGAAGAAAATCACACATTTATAAAAAACCTGTTTCAACCATTCTTATAGCAGCATTATTTGCAATGGCCAAAAACATGGAAGCAACGGAAATGTCCATCTACCGAGAACTGGATAAAATGTGGTGTATACATACAATGGACTGTTACCCAGCCTTAAAAAGAAACGAAATCCTGACACTAAAGCTGGGATGAACAGTGAAGACATTATACTACAGGAAACAAGCATCATTAGAAGATAAAAACCGTGTGATCCCCAGTAGGAGGTACCTAGAGTAGTCGGATTCATAGAGGAATAATGGTTGCCAGGAGTTTCGGGGAGGATGGGGGACTGCTTAGTAAATATAGAGTTCCAGCTTATAAAGACGAAGAGTTCTGCGGGGTGGATGCACAACAATGTGCCTGCACGCAACTGTACACTTATATATGGTTAAGACGCTAAATTAGATGTTATGTGTATTTGACCACAATTTAAAACAAACCATTGTGTATCCTGAATATTCATTGGAAGGACCAACGACGAATCTGCAGCTCCAATACTTTGGCCACCTGATGCAAAAACTCGACTCATTAGAAAAGCTCCTGATGCTGGGAAAGATGGAAGGTCAGAGGAGAAGGGGACGACAGTGGACGAGATGTTGGGATGGCATCACTGACTCAACGGACATGAGTTTGAGCAAGCTCCGGGAGTTGGTGATGGACAGGGAGGCCTGGCGTGCTGCGGTCCATGGGGTCGCAAAGAGTCGGACACAACTAAGCGACTGAACAACAATATGCATACGTCTACAAAAAAGGAGAGACAGGAGGGCACAGGAGCTTCAGTCTCACCATCCCACCACCAGTCCTCCAAGAGCCCCGCTCTACCCGAAAAGGCGCGTCCCTGTCTCCCTCCGTCCCGCGGTAGGGGCGGGGGCAGTGGGGTGGGGGGGGAGTGTCGTGTGATTCTCCACCTTGCGCTCACAATAATCTTCTTAAGCCGCGCCAGCGGTACCTCGGCGCCCGCCCTCCGGGAGCGGGCGGCCAATGAGCACGCGCCGGAGCCGGACCTCGCGCCCGCATTGGCTGCGCCCGGCAGCCCGCGACCCCGCAGGTTCCCAAGCCGGGTTTAAAGCGGTCGCGCGCGGGCTCCTGCTTCGCCATCAGCTCCCCCGCTCGCAGGTCTGCGGGGCGGGGCGGCCTGCCGAAAGGCCCACCCTGGGGCGTTCCTGAAGGGCGCCTCGGCCGCCCCCACCGTTCCCCCAGATGTATTATGCGGTTTCCCAGGCGCGCGTGAACGCGGCCCCCGCGACTATGCTGCGGCCGCCGAGGCCGGGAGACGTGCCGGTCGGGGCCTCCCTGTACGAGTTGGTGGGCTACCGGCAGCCGCCCTCCTCGTCCTCTTCTTCGTCCCCGACGGGGGCTGCGCTTCTCCCCAAGGCGGCGCGCGAGAAGCCGGAGGCGCCCGCCGACACGCCGGGCACGGGAGCCGGGACTGGGGCGCACGCGGGCGGCGGGCCCCGGGCCGATGCCAAAGAGGAGCAGCAGCAGCAGCTGCGGCGCAAGATCAACAGCAGAGAGCGGAAGCGGATGCACGACCTGAACCTGGCCATGGACGCGCTGCGCGAGGTCATCCTGCCCTACTCGGCGGCGCACTGCCAGGGCGCGCCGGGCCGCAAGCTCTCCAAGATCGCCACGCTGCTGCTCGCCCGCAACTACATCCTGCTGCTGGGGAGCTCGCTGCAGGAGCTGCGCCGCGCGCTCGGCGAGGGCGCAGGGCCCGCCGCGCCGCGTCTGCTCCTGGCTGGCCTGCCGCTGCTCGCCGCCGCGCCGGGCTCGGTGCTGCTGGCGCCCGGCGCCGTGGGGCCGCCCGACGCGCTGCGCCCGGCCAAGTACCTGTCTCTGGCGCTCGAGGAGCCGCCGTGCGGCCAGTTCGCGCTCCCCGGCGGCGGTCCGGGCGGCGGCGCGGGCGGCCCCGGCCTCTGCACCTGCGCCGTCTGCAAGTTCCCGCACCTGGTCCCGGCCGGCCTGGGCCTGGCCGCTGTGCCGGCGCAGTTCTCCAAGTGAGGGCCGGCTCGGGCGCCACCTCGGCCCGGCCTCCCTCCGCCCAAGCCGGGCTGAGCCAGGAGGGCACTGCGGACCTCCTCGCCCAGAGACAGGGACTGCTGGGCGTCCCCTTTCCCGCCCCCATTCCGGGGAAATTAAAGTGACCCGAGCGGATGTTCGACAGAACGTCGGGGCTCTTTGGGGTCCTGGGTGGCTTCCAGCTGCTTTGCGCTCACATGCGCGCTCTCACCGTCATCCCGCGCCCGTGTCTCCCGGTTCCTGGAGTCGTGCGTTTCTCAAGGGCGATGCGGACTTTACGGCGCCGGGCTAGCCCGGGTGCGGCGGTGGGCCGACACCTGCCGAGCCAGGGAACCAAGGGGCTGCTCTCGGAGGGCGGGGGGCTGCAGATAGACTTGGAGGTGTTTCCTTCTTCTCGGCCAGAGGTCACAGGCGCCCTTGTTCACCAGCAGCCAGTCCCGGTTAGAGGAGGCTGGCCGACCCCCAGGAAGCCGAGAAAGACCACGCCGTCAGTGCAGACGGCTTCGCGCATGGCAGACGGACAGACAGACCCTCGGCGGCCAGACAGTTGGCATCGCGGTGCCGCGGGAGGGCCGGTGACAATTCCCGGGTCGATGAGTGTGCTGGATTGGAAAGCCCGCTTTCATACCCCGACTATGAGAGTTCTTGCAGTTTTTTCAGAATCGCAGACCGGGTGTTTGGTCGCGATGATGCGCTCTTAAATCTGAAATCTTCTGAGAAGGGCGGTTTGGACCTCGAGATTCCTCCTTTTGTCTCCCCTTCCCGCAGGGGTAGCGTAGGCAACATTTGAGCTTGCTTGAAAACAACCACCTTTCCTCCGCAGACCGGCTTCCGGGCTTACTAAAAGAAAATAGGTAACTGCGTTTCGCGGTTGCCGGCTTGGCAGAAGGCACGATCTCTAATTAACGTTCTGCCTCGTTAAACACGGAGGGGGACCAAGGACCCCAATGTGGTGGCCAGGGCGGGGTGGCGTTTTCTGCGCGATCCCTTCGCGTTGGGGTGCGGGGGCCGTCTTGGACCAGCGCGTGGGCCAGGTCTTCTGGCCACTTCGCGATGGAAAAACTACCTTGATTTGTTACAGGCGTTAGCAAATTACTTCATCCAAGATGACTTCATGATCTTTCAGCAGCTTGCTTTGGATTTTAAGGCTTCGGGGTTGTTGATAGTTGCCGAATTTAACTGGCATTTTATTTTTTCCCGCTCTAACTTTGTTTCCCTGCGCTGTGAAGAATCAACAAAATAAACATGTAAGGGCCTTACATTTTTTGTCTGATATGTTAATAAAAAAGTCCTGGTGCCTGATGGATTGAGAACCTCAGAATGAAGGGTAATAAATAATTAAATGACTCCGGTCAAAAGGTTTAAACCTGACTTCCTGATATGGAAAAAGTAATCCGATGAAGTCAACTGTAGGCCAAGTTGAGAGGCATCTGAAGGGGCAGGCAGGTAAATGGGTGGATGAGAAGAGAGGGAGGAATTCCAGGAATCAGTTCTTAGCCAAACTTGGTGGGGGTGGGTCTTTTCACACTGCAACTTCAGCCTCTGAAAAATGGGTTACGAAATATATTTATGATAAACTTAATTTACATCTCATCATCTTTCTCAGAAACCTACCATTTCTGTCTTAGTGGACAGAAACTCAAAGCTGTGAGCTTTCCTCCCATCATTTCAATCAGGTTGGAGTTGTTTCCTAGGAAATTGTGACCTTGGAAATAATTTTATTCTAACAGGTGAAGAAAGCTCTTCTGTCTGAAGATGTGATAAAGAAATTGGAATGTGAACTCGCTCACATGTAGTATTTAAATATTCATAGTTGCTAATGAAATCCAACCACATTTAAAGGTAGGGGGACTGTAGGGATGAAGTAGTGTCCCCTTTAACCTGCAGGAAATTAAAGAAAGGCCAGAGAAGGTGATTTACTCAATTTTATCCACACTGGCTAGTCTGAAGCATGTATACATTTAGGAAAAATAAGCATTCACTTTGGGAACACAGAAGGGGTTGGTGGGAGGGGGTACCAGAAGGATGGAATTTTCTCCCCTACCATCCTCTCTAAGTGTCTGTTTACTCAGGGAGGATGGGCAAGAGAGGGTGTGAGGGAAAGTAGCTCTATGGTTCCAATCCATTTGGGGAAGAATTTCTCATTCCTCCTGACTCTGCCACCAGAAAAGTCACAGGCTTCTATTATAACTAAATATGAATTGTGACCTTTTGTGTATTTAATGGCTGTCTTTGCTTACTTTGCATCTTGACGATGGACAGAAAGAAAATGAACAACTAAATCAAAACCAAATCAGGTCCCCCTCCCTAAAAAAATATTTCTAGGATATTAGAAATAAACAATTCCTCTCATCGTCCCAACTATATCACCTAGATGCTATCCTCACTTTGAAACCATCTCTAAGAGAAGCAGAGAGCCACAGGGCAGAAAGGGGTGTGTGGTCTCCCTCCTGTCTCCACTTACAAATTGAAGCTTTATAGGGAAAGATAAGAAAGATAACACTACTTGTGACTTTTTATTTATCAGAAAATCAAACCCTATCATGGTTTCCAGAACCAAAGATTGTGAATGAATTTCACAAGGATAAGCGGGGCTGTTTTGAATATCATCAAATTATTTATCTGCCTGCATGTAGCATCTTAGTGTGCCAAGGAAGATTAACAGACTCACTTTTAAAAATGTATTTATTTTTTAATTGAAGGATAATTGCTTTACAGAAATTTGTTGGTTTCTGCCAGACATCAACATGAATCAGCCACACGTATACATAGGTCAATCCTAAAAGAAATCAGTCCTGAATATTCATTGGAAGGACAAATGCTGAAGCTGAAGCTCCAATACTCTGGCCACCTGATGTGAAGAACTGGCTCCTTAGAAAAGACCCTGATGCTGGGAAAGATTGAAGGCAGGAGGCGAAGGGGATGACAGAGGATGAGATGGCTGGATGGCATCACCGACTGGATGGACATGAGTTTGAGCAAAGTCCGGGAGTTGGTGATGGACAGGGAGGCCTGGCGTGTTGCAGTCCATGGGGTTGCAGAGTCAGACACCACTGAGCGACAGACCTGAACTGACTGATACATGTGTCCCGTCCCCTTGAGCCTCCCTCACATCCCCTTCCCCATCCTACCCCTAGGTTGATACAGAGTCCCTGTTTGAGTCCCCTGAGTCATGCAGCAAATTCCTATTGGCTATCTATTTTACATGAGATAATGTAAGTTTCCATGTTACTTTCTCCATATATCTCACCTGCTCCTTCCTCCCCACCCGCTTCCCTCACCCACCATGTCCATAAGTCTGTTCTCTATGTCTGTGTCTCCATTGAGCAGGGTCACATTTTGCATCCTGAAAAATAGCAGCAGCGGGCACTCAGGAGTCCTGAGGAATAAAAGATAACAATATATAGTGCCCCAAATGCAAAGTTAGATCTCTGCAAAGTTAAGACATATGTCTATGGGAGGGCAGTGTATTCTGTAGGCATCATATTTAAGAATGGACATGTATGTTGTAGACCAAGGAGTTGCTTTTTGAAATCTGCAGGCCGGCTTTTGGCAGAAGGAACAAGTTGAAGCTGGTCTTGGAAGGGCTTGGGAAAGCAAAGAGCATGTAAGACAGGCTCCTTGAGAAAGGTTCACCAGGATTCATAAACATGATGGAAAGGAACATGTGGCTCGATGCCCCCCAAAAGGTCACTGCATCCAGTCAACCACCAACTTGTGATCCCAGAGAAGAGAGTGAACAGGACCCAAGGGGAAAAGACACAAGACCTTGAGAAATTACGTTGTTCTATGTGCAGGAGCCCAGGTGAGCAATCAGTAAACAGAGGACACATTCAGTCTCTGTGGGGTTTCCCCAACCCGTAGTGATGGTCTATTTACAGGTGTTCTCCTCGCAGGGAGACTGATTATACCAGGAACGAAAATACAACCTTGTAAAATATATCACTCAGAAAGCAAACGTTCCCATCAAGAAAGAGGCCCCACCCCAAGCATGGAAGGTATTGCACTTTACCAAAGTTCAGATGATTAACAATGGTGCTTCCATGATATGGGTCTAGTTAAGGGTCACCCATCTAGTCTTTGCTGACTCCCCAGGAGTGCAGGTGAGGCTGGGTCCAAGCTGGCAGTCAGTAAAGATTCTGCCTGCTAGCTGGACCTCATAAGCCATAAGGGAAGCCAGCCAGAAGGAGGCTGCCACACAAGGGTACACTATGAACTTGCCAAGAACGAAGTGCTGGTTAGGAAGAGCTTTTTCTCACCTTGTCACATAACACATCTATTGGGAAAATGCCTTTCTTCCAGGAGGCGTTTTCTCACTAGCTTCCTACCCCTCCCTTCTTCTGCACACTCACAAATATCAATAAGATTACCACCTTCCCTGATGTAGGCTCAAGAAGCCACAGATTGGAAAATGTCATGTTTTTCTAAAACACAGATTCACTTTTATCAAGCAGATTTTAGTTTCAGGGAAACATTGTTTCCAAGCAAAGTCCATCTTCTCCTACCAAATGCAGGATGTGAACACAAGAGTTAGCAAGTTAATTCTCAATATCTAAACTGGCTTCTTTTTCTATGGGGATATTGCAAATGACTTCTTCAGGCAGTTTCCATTTTGTCCTTTTTTTAACTAAGCCCGGCATAAAAGCTGAAATGCCTGATCTGAAATCAAGCCAAGTTCCTTCTGTTCATGTGGAACTGGCCCCACCATTAGAAAACTTTCCCCGTGGCCTCCAGCTGAAGCTGACAGGCCAGAGCTCAAACTCTGAGATCAGGACAACCAAGTCCTTAAACATTACAGGCTACCTGAGGCCCGGGAGCAAGGCGACCCTGGATTGAAAGCTCCCGGGCACTTGGCTTTCCTCGATGGCCACAGAGGACAGTGGTTCACTGAGCCGGGACAAGGGCCACAGGTATCAGATCATCGCTGAGTCCCACAGAGTGCCAGTGGGCAAGAGACCCTCAGGGTAATCTGTCCACCCTCCTCCCTGCTGAGTAAGGCCACTGCGGCGCAGGAAGCTCACGGGACATGCCCGAGGCCCTACAGGTGGTCAGAGGTGGGGATGCCAGGATCCAGTACCTGCTTTGCAGAGACAAAAACTGCTTCCTCGGTTTGTCACAGGGGGCCTGGAGTCCCATGGAAACAGGAGTCCTGGTGGGGAGTGAGCCCATCCTTCTTGCTTCCCATCGAAAACCTCTGGGCCCATTAGCCTCTCTGCTCAGCACCCCCGTCTGCCCCTGCACGCCGCATCCAGGAGGGACAGACGCAAGGTCAGTCCCCTGCCAGGTGAGCTGGCTGCGGTTTTAGCCACCTGAACTTTCTCCAGCAGTCTCTCCCGGGAGCCCCGAGGGAGGCCAGGGTTGGTGACAGGGAATGGCAGGGGGCAAAGCAAACCCTTTGAGAGATGCTCAGGTAGTTACAGGCTTGTCATCAGAGCTTCAGAAAGCAGTGTT